GTGAGATGAGAGAAAAATAAATGTAAATGGCTCTTGATTTCCTGATCTGTGTAAATCAGAGAATGATGGCTCCAAAACATAGAGGGAAAATACTAGAAGAGAAGACTATATTTAGAAAGGTGTTTAGAGGAATAAAATGTTTTATTTTGGACAGTAAGTTTGGCTAATGAACTTCCAAGTAGAGCTGCTGAGGATGTGATTGGATATACAAATTAGTATTGAGAAATGCACATTGGGAGGTTATTAGGAATAGAAAGTATTCAAAGCCACAAGACTCATCAGAATCACTAGGAAAAAAGTATAAATTGAAAAAAAAGGACCAAAAATACGAATAATATAAACCATTATGTTCTGAATTCAACCTCTAATATTTTCCTAAGAAAAGAAAAATGTCTCACTGAATTTGCTCCTGGTAAATGGTAGCTCCAATACACCTATTCTGTTCTGGGTGTTGCAGATGCTATGGAAATTTTCTTGGACATTGTGACAGATTAAAACAAAAGAGGGGATATCTTCCTTTCAATAAAAACTTATTTTATTTCCTATTCTAGACAACTATACTCTAATTTGTAAAACTAAGAAGACTAAAAGAAGAAAATTGTTGGAAATATACACATATTTTTCTTCTGGATGCTTTCATTTTGGTCTTGTTCAAATAAAGAGGCTTATAAGGACAGTTATTTGAGCATTACACATACTGGGTAGTGATTTTGTGGATATCTCAGTATTAAAAAAAAAAAAACAAACCTGTTGCCATGAAGTTGATTCTGACTCATAGTGACCCTCCATGTATTTTCTTAGGTATGAGAAAAAGAAGACTCTGAGGTCAGTGATAACTGCAACTTAAGGTACCTTTAGTTAAATATAGCAACTCATAAAAGTGTAAGTCCCAGGAAAAGTATGTGCTGTAATTACAGTTTAAATTGAAAAAATATGCTATGATTACAGAAATCCATCATCCATTTTTTCAAGTTAATTACTTATAATGTTGCAAGAGTAGAGACAGGGAGAGCCAAAGGGAAATGAGCTGGGAGTTTGCAGAGATTATAAGGGATGCGTGGATACACACAAATTAGGAAATTGGGTATTTACGTTTTGTTTACCTAAATCTCCAAGATCTGCATTATATGCAATTGTGTGTGACAGACCATGTGTGTGGGTGTGTACATGCACACATCTATCTACACATCTATGAAATGGACTTTAATTGAACAGAAAAATCAATTGGGTTTACAAAGAGATTGACAGTGTTGTTTATTCAGATGAATCAGAGTTACAGCTCCAAACCAGAGGATTCATTTAGAGGAATGGAATAAATCCACAGTTTATCCTAAGCACTCAGCTGATGAATGCACATGAGCTCAGAGTGCTCTTCTTAAATGATTTTTTAAAGTTGATTTTCCCAGTCCGGGAGGAAAACAATGACTGGCATAAAGGCTGAGAAAACTGACATAGTTTAAAATTAAAGACATGACTGAAAGGCTTGTGAAAACGGGAAAATTGAAAGAATATGTTAGAAAATTAAAATAATATTTCAATTCAATTCAACTTAGAAAATGTATATTGAACATTTATGGGTTGTAATGGGCAAATCTGCTGCAAAAGAACTCTCTAAAGTGTTGAGAAGCAAAGATGTCACCTTGAAGATTAAGGTGTGCCTGACCCAAGCCGTGGTGTTTTCCTTCGCCTCATAAGAATGCAAAAGCTGGACGATGAATAAGGAAGACCAAAGAAGAATTGACACCTTTGAATTGTGGTGTTGGCAAAGAATATTGACTATACCATGGACTGTCAAAAGAATGAAGAAATCTGTCTTGGAAGAAGTACAACCAGAATGCTCCTTAGAAGCAAGGATAGTGAAACTTCATCTCACATGCTTTGGACATGTTATCAGGAGGGATCAGTCCCTGGAGAAGGACATCATGCTTGGTAAAGTAGAGGGTCAGCTCCAGGTGACCTCAAGCTGGAAGACCAACACATGGAGTTTGTCAAAGGCTATTTATTAGTTATTTTGAGAGCTAGGTAAAAGTTAGAAAGATTATAGGATAAAAATTATTTAGAATAAAAATAGCTCACCAATCCTCTTAGAAAAAGTGCCAAAAATTCTGCCATTAAAAACAGTATTTGGGTACTTCCTAGGATACTCTTTAGGTGCAAATATCCACACACAACTTCACCCCTCTTAAAAACAAATTGTTTAATGGACTTTCCTGTAGCATGAAGGCATGGTGCTAAAAAGGAAAGGAGTAATAGATTAAAAAAAAATCAATTAACAGTCAGATAAAGTTTATCTATATCATAATTTTTTTTTACCAAGGACAGAAGTTACACTCCCCTCACTTCCCCCGCCCCCGCTGGAGGAATAAAAGTGTATAATCTATTTTATTTTTAATCAGTTGACATTAGTTAAAACAATTTCCTGTAATTCTTTCAGATTTTTCGTATATTTAGAAGTCCTCACATTAACATCTAATATTCATGCGATATACTTAAAATGGAGCCCTGGTGGTGCAGTGGTTAAGATCTCATCTGCTAACCAAAAGGTCAGCAGCACCAATCCACCAGCTGCTTCTTGGAAACCCTATGGGACAGTTCTACTCTGTCCTGTAGGGTTCCTATGAGTGGGAATCAACGCGCCGGCAATGGTTTTTTTTAAAATACTTTAAAAAAATGGGTTTTCTTTAGCCCCCCCCCATTATTTTCTAGTTACTAGTAACTAGGGGTATATTTTGTCAATATGCTTCTGAGCTTCTTTTACTGAAGAAATAGCCACTTGAGGAAAAGGGGAATAATACTTTCTTTTTAAGATTAGACATCTATCACATGCACACTGTATGCATGTGTGTGTGTATATATATACACACACACACACATATATATATATATATATATACACCAAACCCATTGCTGTCCAGTCAATTCCAAATCATAGCGACCCTTCTACAGAACAGAGTAGAACTGCCCCATAAGGTTTCCAAGGAGAGGCTCGTGGATTCGAACTGTTGACCTTTTGTTTAGCAGCCAGAGCTCTTAACCACTGCACCACCAGGGCTCCTATGTATATATATATTCTTTATCTATATATGCATATATTATATGCATCTACTAAATGCAAATGGTATTTTCAGGACAAAAGCAAGAAAACAATTTAAATATCATGCAAACAATATGTAATTTCTTCACTAAGATGGTTTTAAAGGATTCTTTTGCAAAGATGCTCTGATAGTAAGAGGAAAACAAGTGCAATCCTCAAAATTCTAACATGATCAGTTAAGCACAAATCAAAGGGCTTTTTAAATGTGCCTTGCGCCCCCTAATGGTAGGAAAGCAAAACCTTTTACCTATGTAAATGTCATGTTTCTTTGCCAACTAATCACCCTTTATATGACACTTCCTCCTGGTGAGTAGTGTTCAATATTGTGTTTTCTGCAAATTCACAAAGAAATTGAAAGTAATACAAATACTAGATATTGTTAAATTTCTGAACATTGTATTATGTGAATGACTCTTTGCTATTTGAAATAATTATTAAATGTTTGGAATTAACCCCTGTCCTTAAATTTAGGATAGAGATAGAGAGGTTAATCTCATATGCATATACTGTATAACGTAAATCAATTTGGTAGAAGTAAATCCAGATTTTTTTCTCAATTGTTAGTACATGATTAATTTATTTAAAAAGAAAATCTCAGACACTTTTACCTTCAAATATTCACATTCCTAACAGCATCCTTGGAGCCCTGGTGGTACAGTGGTTAAGAGCTTGGCTGGTAACCAACAGGCTGGCAGTTTGAATCCACCAGCTTCTTCCTGAGAATCCTATGGGATAGTTCTACTCTGTCCTATAGGATCACTATGAGTTAGAATCAACTTGATGGCAACGAGCTTGACTTTTTTATTTTTTTTGGTTTAATAGCATCCTCTTTTAAGATCACTCCACGTACCCTGAAATACCTAATACAATAAGAAAGCTTCACTCCAAAAGACATTTGAGCAATTTTCTTCCAATAACCCAGAAATGGAATGAGTGTCATTGTAACCCATGAAATACATGAAGACACTGTCTTAGAAATGTGACTTTGGTGAATGGTGGTTATTTAGGATCATCTCCTTTCCAGAGGTAAGTATCATTTTAATGGTAAGAAGGGGACTATAGTAGGAAAAGAAAATTGGTGCAATGGTGAAAACCATTGACAGAGAGATTATATGAAGATTTGGCTATACCAATAACAATGAATCCAGAAAGAACAGAGCAATGCAAACGGAAAAAGAGAAAAGAATTAAAAAACAGCAGTCATTAATACCACAGCATACATTTCCACTTGCTACAGCATAATTTATAGCTGAATTCTATACACATGAAATTGTTTTCTAAGCCATTCAACCAAAAGAATTGTGTATACAATTCAACCATTCGCTTAGTTACTTAGAATAAAAACCTTTCAATTTGTTATGAAATAATATCCTATTCCTTAAAGCTACTGTTTTTGTTTTCTTTTTATTCTCTAAATATTTTCTCTTAATCACCACTTTATAAGCAATTCTCTGCCTATCATCACACTATTATTTTACCTTTCCTTTGTATTATCTAAAATGTATAGCGTATACTAGTCTCCAAACCACAAAACATTTGCCCAGAAGATGGGGTTATCAGAAAATTATTCTAAGTACTGAAGAACTTCCAAACTGATGGGATCACTAGTTTCATACATTCATCCTAGAGATTTTGCTTGAGTATTAGAGATAGCGAATCACATGCTTCACAAAAATCAAAATGAAACCTTTACAGAGTAGGGGAACGAGAAGAAAATGGGAAAAGAATGGTACTGACAGTTCTTTTCCAGTACCCTCTATACGGAAGTGCTTTTAACGACCCTTTCTGTGCGTCAGAAATCTGGAGCAGCAGCAGCAAGAGAGGGCACATCCTGAAGGATAATCCCTGTACACTCGTGACATCATCCTCCTGCTTATATATTTAGGGGATGGCCAGAGCATCTCTCATAGTTCAGCCACTTTCAAAGTCAGCTGAAGACAAAAGGAAGCCCTAGAGGGAGCCCCACTTCAGCGTGTCTCTGACATTTATGAACTTGGTTTGCTAGAAGCCTGAAGAAGATGATGGCAGGACTGAAAATCCAGCTGGTGTGCATGTTACTCCTGGCTTTCAGCTCTTGGAGTTTGTGCTCAGGTAAGCCTAGCTGCATTTCACAACTCCCTGAACTGATTTCTTTTCCCTTTTCTGCAGTGTGTGGTTACCTATGCTAACATACCCAGGGGGAAGAGCTTTTCCCTTGTTCTAGATTTGCTTTTTAATGATAGAAACTGAATATTTTCTTTCTCTGTCTTTCTGAATACAGGAACTGAAAGATTTCTTTTCTCTGTTTAAATCTGGAAAGCATTAAAAAGAATTTCAATGAAACATTGCATGCCCTGCTTTGGAATGTAACCACTATGTGAGGGGTGGATAGACACAAAACTTAATTAGACTGTCCATTTTCTAATCAGAAGTAGAGATGCTGTGCTTGTCAAACTACGTACAGACTCATCATTTAAACCTATTCTGTTGAAACTGATTTACTCTCATTCTCAGTCATTTTCTTTGGATGCGGTGGCTTTCCCCTCTGTCTCTCTTGTAATTGCCCCTAATTGTCCCCAAATTGTTTTTCAACTTTGTGTGTTAAGATTCCAAACAAAGTGAAAATTATGTTTAAAGAAAAAAGTATTATTTATAGAAAATAATTTCCAGAAAAATGCAAAAATATCCCCAATCCTTTTTGAGAATACATTTTTATATAGTCTATATGATAAATAGATGTGCTATTAATTTAATTGCTTCTTTTTTTTGCATGTCATTTAAGTTGCTAAAAAATGTAAGGGGAATATTAGTATTCTTACATTAGCAGAAATGGTTTGACTTTGGAGTGTTTTGCATGTGATAATTAAGGAGAAATTCTATATTGCTAAGTATCAGCATCTCACCTGGAAAATAAGACTTAAATCCAAAGGAGTAATATGGAATATAATAACGGAAATGTGCTCAAATTAATTCTTGCAAAATAATCCAGTATTTACATACTTCAAAATAAAAAAAACCTGGAGAATAAATGCAGTAAAAATAATTTAGCCTGTTTTATTTTTACATCTTTTAAATATGACATATGGAAAATTTTAAATCAAATTTATGCTAAGATTTTATTTAAATTATGAAATTAAATCTAGCATAGGTTGTGTAATTTATGCTAAAATTTTCAATTTATTTTAATCATTAGAAAAGAACTTTAAAGTTCTAATTTTGCAAATGTTTTATAGATAAACACAATTTTGCTACAATTATGATTTTATCAACTAGTTATATGAGATTAAAGTATACTTACTCAGAGTACCTGAGAAAAAGCTGGTTATTGCTTAAACACTTTCTCTAGTAACTCTTGAAACTACTTGCTGTGACAAGTCAAAATACATGGGAATTTTGGTATATATTGTTGATAAATGACTTAACAGATTTCTCCTGTCTTTTGAAAAACAGATTAGGCATTTAACAAATAGGGAGGAAATTTTTCTGGCATAGTTTTGCTCCTAGTGACAGTTTAACAAATGATTTTTCCAAGTGTAACACGTCTTTTTAACAAGAGTGTATAGTTAAGGAAAATAGTCATTTTTTACTTCTGCGTTTATACAGATCAGTGAGTACGAATTAAGCTATTATAGTGTTCTATACCTTTATTTGCTTTGCCTTATTTTCTAAACTTTTCTTCTTTGTAAAATATTCACAAGTGGGATTTGGAGAAGATATTCTAAAAAATTGAGAAATGCATTTACAACACTATTGTGCATGTGTTGATGGACAACTCCAGCTCTGCTTTAAACAATTTCCTTTCCTGCCTGTGATGAAATTGCTGTTAAGTGTACATAATTCCAAATTCTTATTTAAAATGAAAAAGCAATTCTTTCAAGGTGAGATTTGTAAAACAGCATCTCACATTAACTAAATTCTGGTATCATTCTTACTTTCAAATTATCAGTAAGCAATTCTTTTTATTTATTTATTTTTTCCTCTTGGTAAAAAGGCCTCTTGAATGCAACGTTATTGTTTTTTTTTAGAAATATCAATATACATATTTTCTATATATGTAAGCTATTACGGTAAAAATAAACTACTGTAGCATATTTGATGAAATTTCTATTATAAAATATAGTCAGTTTTTTTTGTTTGTTTTTAACTGAAATTCAGAGACTAAACTTCAAATTGTCACTAGCTCTCTTGGAAAATAAACATGTACTTATTTTCCTAAAGCACTTCTAATATTCTAGCTGCCTGTTAACCTAAAATAAAACTGTTATAGTATTTTTCTGAAAATACCTAAGGAGAAAAAATACATAGGAAAGAAAACAAGCCACTAAGACCATTTTTTTTTAGATTAATCTAAAATCTGTAGGTTACAATATGATGTGATTATATGGTAAACATGTGGTTTTGATTTTACTCAGATTCAGAGGAGGAAATGAAAGCGTTAGAAGCAGATTTATTGACCAATATGCATACATCAAAGGTAAGTTTGTCTTTTCTTTAACCAAGGGTTGAAGAATATATGAACTTTCATTATGAACATGGTACCCTTTTCCTATAGTAATAGCTTCTAGTCAAGACTGAAAAGTTCATTGGGAGACATTTCCTCTTTCTGGAAACTTTTCCTTGAGTTCAAAGGAGCTAAGGGTGTTGATGTGACAGAGAAAGAAACTAAAGAGACTATCACTCAGCGTATTACTATTTTAATTAAAAAGCCACATATTATTTATGTGGACATGTAAATGTACTTAAAGGAAACTTGTTTCCATCCTTATTACATTAGGTATGATGAAAGGTATATTGGCCTCAAGTTAAAATTCACAAATAAAGCTACCTGATCTTTTTTTTTTTTTATATTGGGGAAAATAAAATGGGGTTCTTAAATTAAAAATGAAAGTTTATGTCAACCCAAGAAGGAAATATAGAAACAGTAACAGTTTGGCAAATAGGACCCTTGAGATCTAATCCTGCAACTGTGACTTACAACCTATTTGATGTTAAACATGTGGGTTAGTTAACATTACTTGCCTTTGTTTCCTTATATTTAAGTGTGAGGTTGAAGTTCATGATCTCCTAGACATTTAAAGTTCTATAATGTGATAAAAAATTATTAAACTTTATTTTTTATTATATGCCTACATTTAAATACTCCCTAATGGAAGTGCTATCTATACTTGCTCATTGTTTTTGCTGAACCAACTAAAACACTGTATCCTGGCCTCTGTTACTCTTGTCTTTGGGTTTTGAAAGCAAGTTTTCTAGGTCCTAGCCTGTATCTAGAAATAAAACTCCTTTAGAATATGCCTGATTACTAGTCTAGCAGACAATATTGATTTACCCACCATGAGTCAGTGTGCCTCTAAATGTAGAGCCAGGGCACAGGTTCCCAATCAAAAGATGTTTCTCAAAGAAAAAAAATTTTGAAGTGAGGCAGTAACCAGTGTGTTATAGCACTGCTGTTCTAAGGCTGAAGATCCAACAGATGTTACCATAAGAAGTAAATAAACTCATCTGATTTCTGAAGCAATATTCCAACTCAATTTATGCCTCCTCAAATTTCACTTCCCTAATTTGATGAATATGTTGTAGGTATAATAATCCCCTAGAATATATGTAGAATTATGCTTGATAATGAACGGAAGGAAAAAAAAACTTTTTTGATGTGTATTTGTGAGTGTGTCCATTATTACCTTAAAGATAAAAAGATGTGTTTTCTACTATGGTCCTTAAAAGACATTTTTGAAAAATGCAAGCACATATATATTTTTCATGATCCAAACCTACAAAAATTGATCAGATTAAAACCAAACACTACCAAAATTTGGTTGGTTTCATATACATACCCTTTAAAAACTCATTTCCATTGAGTCGATTCTGACTCATAGTGACCCTTAAGGAGTAATCAAATTTGGTCATTATCACTTGATGACGAAGTATATTTAACCTTATAATAACAGATTCTTTGTTTAACACTATAATTACTTCAACTCATAAACAGGAAGAAAACTGAGAAGCAGTTAGAAAACGTGTTTAGAAAATGGGGTAGGTTAGAATGCCTTGGAGTCGTAGTGCAGATTTTATATCTATAATTCCAAGTGTACATTGACACATAAAGGTCTTAAATAATCTGCAGAATGAATATATAGGAGTAGAGTGATTACTTTCCTGACCAGGATTCGGTAAAGGAAAGTTATTCCAGTATATGGAGTGGGTTAATGTTTCTCTTAAGACAAATTCATAGCAAAAATACAGACACAATAAAACTTTTTCATTCAGACATTAGATGTATCCATAAAATGGATTATGGAAAAATATCTGAATCTCAATGCCTCCTTTTAAATGAAATAAACCATAGTCTATCCCAAATGGAGACCCAGAAGTGTAATTATTCCAATTTTGCTGCTAGGATGGGAAAAAAATCTCATTCTTTATTTTTCACAAAATTGCTTTATCTCTTATTTCTCCTTGATTCAATTGTGTGTGTGTGTTTATAGTCCTGTGAAAATGAAAAATCTAGGCTTATTCCCATTTTAACCAAATTGTTACATTTACAAATTCAATAAAAATAGAGTTAGGTGTTGATATGAGCACAAATCCATTATTAAAAGCCTAGGTTGCATTTTCTTATTTCCATTTTCTAAGTAAAATATTTGATTAATTTCCATTTAAAACATTGAAATACTAGTGTGGAAATACACTTAGGCAACAAAAGGCCAAGGAACATTCCAAAGGCTCAGAAGAAGTAACAGACGGGGAAGAAAATTTTTTTATCACAATGCTAATCTCTGTATTACCGATGCTAGTGCTTTGGTATAGTTTTATTAAAAAAGAGATCTTCTTACAACAAGTTTTCTTCAGACTCTCAAAAAGTTGCTGGAATATCATAATTTTTATGATCAAACTCAATGCCTTACATACAGTAGGAGTTCAGTAAATGTTTATAAAATAACAATGGGAATCTAAGATTCAATACTGATGTTAGGTGTCGTCGAGTCGGTTTTGACTCACAGTGACGTTATGTACAACAGAACGAAACGCTGCCTGGTCCTGAGCCTCCTCACAATCATTCTTATGTTTGAGCTAACCCTCACATTTTGTATTAAATATAAAATCTTCAGGGATCTACCACAGATAATTTTAATTATGTTTAATTTGGGGAACTCTCGAATTCACTGTCTGTTGAACTTGCCTGAGTTCAGTGTATTACAGGTAGAGCATTGGTCATAATGTTTAGGTCCCTTTTAATTAAGAACTCCACAGCCTCCAAGGTCGAGAAGGGAGACAGTTGACATGTTGTGGGGTTGTTAACCAGTGTCATAAAACAATATGTGTACTGACTGTTTAATGAGAAGTTATTTGTTCTGTAAACCAAGTACATTAAAAATAAATTAAAAAAATAAAATAAAATAATGAATATCACCTGTAAGTACTGTGCTCCTTTAAAAAATCACCTATATGAGACAAAATGGTCAACAATGACTTTAAATCAAAGATGAGATGTAAGGGGGCAGGGAAACTAGATGAATGGAAACAGAACAACCAGAATGGAAATAATGAGAATGTTCACTCATTGTGAAGAATACAACCAATGTCACTGAACAGCTTGTGTAGAAACTATTGAATGGGAACCTCAACTGCTGTGTAAACCTTCACCAAAAACACAAAAATGTATTTAAAAAAAAGAAAAGAAAAAAGAACTCCACAGAAATTTGACCAGGATCTTATTCCATATTAGAAATCAAATAGCAATAATCAGAAACCACAATAACTCTTGTTTTCCTCATTTTGAGAACAAGAGGAAACAATATTCTAAACATCTTACCTATGAGCTTAAGACTATTACAAGTGTTTTAATAAACTAACTTAGTAAGCAAGAATGTTTGAGTAGAATAGTTTAAACTTTATTCAAAATATTTTCAGATACATGTTTACTTACCTTTGGTCAAGAGTAGTCTCTCTGCTGTTCTTCCTAGTTATGACAGGGACTAATGTGACATTAGATACTATTTTTGAGTAATTTAGTGACTATTTTAACTGATATATGATAAAGAAAAAAATGATTGCTCAGTTTCTTCATCTGCTAAATAATCAGGCAACACTAGGCCTGATAGATACTATAGATTAAGCTTTCTGTAGTCAGACTGGTTTGGGGAAAATCGTGATACTATATTCCACACCACTGAAGAGACACAATAAATATTTGCATATAAAAGACTCAGAAGATTCCTAAATTCAAGAAGTCTTTTAATTATGCTTAATTTTTTCCCCAATTTACTGGATTGTGAAACTCCTTTTTTTAAAATTAGTGAGTGTAGAAATAGTGTTCCAAGGAGGAAACTTTGGAGAACACTGAATTAGATGATCTTTAAAGAGCTTTCCTATAGTAAAATTACAAGATCCCATTAATTAGCAGGGCACAAGGTATTGCTGCCGCTATTCAGTGGATCATGTTGCCTCTAAAACAGTTTCCCATAGCAGAAAAAGCAATCAGTGGCTAGATAACCATAAGGAAGGAATATATTAGAAAAAATTTCCAAACTGGTTGAAAGTTGAACTAGAATAATCTCTAAGAATCTAAGGAGTCCCTAAATCGGTGGAATACATCTTTATTGGGTGAAATTAAATCTATTAGAATTCTGGACCTATCATGTTTGCCTTATTCTCTTCTATGTTTCAATATTCTTCAACTTTTCCCCCTTCCTGTCTCTCAGATGCTAGAATGCAAAGAATGGGCATGCCTACTTCAGAATGTCTGTGCCATACCCCTGGTGAAAAAACTCCAATTCAGAATTTGGCATTGTTTTTCATAGGGAAAGTGTTTGCTCTGGGTTTGCACTGTTAGCATACCGGATGAAAAACAGAAGGGAGAATTAAGGAATTAAATGGCAAGTGTAGCATGGGTATTGACCAATTGGAATGGTAGATGGCTGTGGGCAGCAGCACTGGTAAAGACTGAAGGGGTATCCACCCTAGAAATAAACTTCCCCACTGCTTTTTCATTTTTGTTCAACTGAAAGAAAGTTAAATGATAGTCATTCTCCTCCTTTTAGGCATGCTGTACATTTTAATCATTTGAATAGTTTTGCTTAATTTTGTATTTTATGTTTTATTTACTTATTTATTTTTAGCATTTTCAGAAATGTAGAATTTTCCTGATCCTGGAATCTTGCCTTGGTTATTCACTTCCCTTCTTGTTGTTGTTTCATTGATAAGAATTTATTTCTTTGTGCCCTGGAATCCATTGATTCCATATTTGTTGTCCTCACAACTTCCCTTCTCCATTTTATTTTATCAAGATGTTTATCAAGAGTGACTTGTATTATATTTTTAAGGTAGAATGGATCATAATACATTCTGGTTTAAGATTTTTATACATTAAAGACTTCAGGTCCTGTATGTACATCTTTTTTATTTTTTTAAGCCAGAGTTCAGTGAATTGAATGTAGTTGCAATGAAGATAATGCATTCAGGAGAGAACTGTCAAAGAGCAAAATGCAATAGCATGGAATGTAAAAGGGGAGAACTCGAAAGTCCAACGACCTGGATTTAATCTGGGCTCTGGAATTTATTACGTCTGCATCCTTGAGAAATTATTCAGTCTCTAAACCACAGTTTCTACATCTGTAAAATGTAAAGAATTGTTGCTATTTTTGTTCATCGTTTTATTGTAGACAAGATTTCAGTAACATGGTGCACATAAAACAGTTCACAGAGTGTCAGTCACATATAAAGGTAGTCTCATTAGCTATTTTCATCATTGTTGTTGTAGTGGTTTCTTTACTATACTATTTAAGACTCCTGGGACACATTGCGTGGCAAATAAGTTTATTAGAAAGAACCAAAGCTTATAGGAATATGTCCCATGGTTACCCTTCCTATTACATTTGATGCAGTTGTCCCCGCTTCCATTCTGGAACAACAAAATATTCTAAACACCATCCACTCCAAATAAAACTACTTGTGGCCAAATAACAGAAAAGGAATAATGAAAGACTAATTATATTAGAAGGAGCCCTGGAGGTACAGTGTCTAAGTGCTTGGCTGCTAACCGAAAAGTGGGCAGTTTAAACCTACCAGCTGTTCTTAGGAAAAAAAAATCTGGCAATCTGCTCCTGTAAAGATTACAGCCTAGGAAACCCTGTGGGGAAGTTCTAGTCTGTCTTATAGGGTCGGTATGAGTCAAAATATACTCAAAGACACAAAACAACAACAATTATATTGTAGGAGTCCATGGGTGATGCAAACTTTTAAGCGGTTGACTACTAGTCAAAAGGTTGGCAGTTCAAATCTACCCAGAGGTGCCTCAGGAGACAGGACTGGCGATCTGCTTCTGAAAAGGCACAGCACTTACGCACTCCACACATATGGTTGCCATGAGTTGGAATCAACTCGATGGCAACTTACAACAAACAACAACAATTATAATGGGAATAAGAAAGTCAATAATTTCCAGGAAAGCACCTTTCAAGTTATTAGCTGCTTATGTGTATCATAAACACTTGTAGTATAGCATCATTCATTACATCATTTAATATATATCTA